ATTCGTGAGCGTAGGAACCTAAGAGTTGTTTGTGCTCTTTTTAATCTTCTTTACGATCCACATACACCAGTTTACCTGAAAAGCAGATTTACGTTTCTGTGTGATTCTCATGACCGTGTCCTCCGTTCAACGGACAACCTCCTTCTGCATACTCCCGTCCACTCTTCTGGCTTCGTCTCATATTCTTTCACCATCACGGCTGTGCGACACTGGAATGACTTGCCCCCTAATATACGTAAAGCTCCTAACAAATTTGTATTTAAGGGAGTGGTTCGTGAGCATTATCTTAATATAATTAATCTGCGTTCTCATACTTGACTGGCATAATTATGTGTATGTATGTATTGTAGATATAGCATATATATTTACATGTATGTAGTGTATATATATTTTAATATTTGTGTATTCTATTGATATATACAATACCTACCTGGTTTATTTAGCATATGTCCATATTGCACCCCCGTATTTTTAGTTCTCACGCTTTTACTCGTCGACTGGTAGAGAATGCCTTATGGCATTATGTCCGCCAATTGCTGTTTGTTTTGCAATAAAGTATAAATAAATAAATAAATAAATACTTACATTGGCGATTTGCGCGGATCAAAAGGAAAATAAATTCGATAATTAATATCTTGATGATCTTGACCGAAAGCTTTGTTACCCAGCGGGTAAAGACTCATGTACGCACAAGTGCTGAGCACGGTGCATATGTATAAGAAATGCAATCTTCTCATGTACTTTTCGTTTTGTTCCACTAGTTCGAGGTGAGCCGAGTTTTTAGGACTAAATAATTCACCTGCAATTATGAATAATGCTAATTGTACATTCTCTCTGCGTAACTCGATCGTGTAGTGAATGACAGAGTGATTACTTTTCCTATAGTGTAGGTAGTGGTTATATGCGCATGCGGTCTGCAATCTCAGAGATTTTAGTCATAAGATTGGTGACTAAAAATTTATTATCTCGAGCTCCATCCCTTGGTGTGCATTTGCAGATTAGCACCGACCGATCCACAACGAGCCCACATTTTGTAGGTTGTGTGTACACTTTCACGCCTAAGCCACTGAAACAATTTTGATGAATTTGTTCTTACCACGAGAAAGATTGTAGATCGATATAGATAGTAGTATACCTATTAGGTACATAAAGGGACCTTGTAAAAGGAGAATAACTTATAATGTCGCAAAAATAAAGCTTGCAGGAACATACGGGTCAAGGGGATTAAAGTTTATATTGGAAACTAATTTATTTAAAGCAGAATAAGTCACGGGCATCCACTACTCCACTAAGTATGTAAGGTATTAATAATTTCTCTCTATGACCTTCCTACCGTCGGTAGTGTCGAATAGTTGTTTGATACGTTTCATTCGTACGGTGAATGCAACTTGTTTAACTATTGCGGTGACGGTCGTCAAAAATAGGAACAACGTATTCACCAGTTCATCGGTGCTGTGTCGATCCTGAAATATATACAAAACTCAATTACCTACTGTCAGGGATTGTACGTAAGTTTGTTCAGCACCCTTAAAAGCTCTACAGCAAAAGCCGCTTTTGGGCTCTGCGTATTGAAGCCCTTTATTTCATGAACCAAGAGTTCAAAATAATGAAAAAGAAATTTTACTACATGAATAGGAGCAAACCCATTTGCGTCGTGCTCACTAATGGCAATACCGTCTTCATGTACCGTCCGTACCGTCGTCCCCAACCACAGGAGACCCCGAAGGACCGACAATTACTTCTCACACACATTTATTCCCAAAATATTTTTTTCAAAAATAGAAGTTACAACTCAATATGAAATAAACAAAGTAATTCCTAAGCTTAGGTGCTTCGTATTATTACCGTTTGAGAAATTTTAAACGTAAAGCGAGGTTAGTCAGCTATTTTCGCGCAACACCGTTGAAGATATCTGCTTCAAATTGAGTTGCAAGATCCCACCCGAACAAACACTCATTTATTGCAAGTTAATAAAATGCTTCGTAAATAAAATACAACTTGTAAAGAAATGTAAATAAATATTTCCAACACTCACACCAATTAGCCTATCCCCAAGGGCGGATCCAAGGGGGGGGTCATGGGGGTCATGACCCCCCCCCCCCCTGGGCTGGATCCATCTGTACCCACTTCACAATCTGTACTTCCAATCTGTACCCACTGTGACTTGATCACGACTATATGACCCCCCCCCCTGGCGCCAAAGCTGGATCCGCCCTTGCCTATCCCCAAAGTAAGCACTGTAAGGCTATGGGATTAATAAGGGGGTAGATTTATTAATAAGGTGGTAGAAGTTTCGTATAAGTTTATTTCATATTTTAATAACAATAAATATCATTATAATAAAGATAAATTATTACTCTATCCTCTTTTTTTTCTGGTTTTTAACTCATTGTTCAAAACTGCCCCATGTCGATTCAAATGTACCCCCCCATGGGGAGGCAGATATGAACAAATTTGTGTTTTAAAAAACACATTACCTACCTATTTCTCTTTAACGTTTTCAGCAAATTCAAACATTTCATCATTTTTATATTAACAAAGGAGTAAGTAAGCTAAGAAAACTATGTTTTTCAATTTCTCTTTACCTACAGTTGATTTTTTATGAGTCCAAATACGAAAAATGTGCTAATGTGCCTCCCCCATATATATACTGTTAAACACTATACCAAAGAGTAAAGTAAGTATACCAAAGGCACTATACCCTGCCTGCGCGCTTTGCGCTCTTGTATTGCGCAGTCGGGTTATAAATCACCATTATCTTCGGAACGTAGGTAATGTACATAAATTCCTTCTGAGATAAATAGAAGGAGCGCGAATTCGCACTCATACGACGGGATCATCAGCTCACAAGAAATATGTGGATTAGGTTGCCGGGATCTTTAGTAAACTTATTCTGAGGCGGAGATAAGGGTGCTTTGCTATGTCACTGTTTCTAAAATTCGCTTCGACGCGTTTCGACTTTGCGCTAGTATGAATTGACCCTAAGATTGGTTGCTTCTAAATAATAACACATACTATTGAAACCGTTACTAACCTGAATTCCCTTAATGAACAGCTGGACGTTGTAAAGACTAATAAAGGTCCAAGAAACCGCAGCCGCGAAATCACTGTCGTAAAAAGATTTCTTGTCTCCTGGTAAGTGTTTTTTGGTGTATAAAAAAGCTGTCTTATCCAGTAGCCTGTAGTGAGGCCTTAGACTCTTGAACATCGTATACTTTTTGAAGCCTTCCATGTTGTAAAGCTGTTTTTCTGCTACTGTACGTAGGTAACATGTTACATTAAAACTTTTTATCTATTCATGTCGCTAACTTAACTATAGTTTAGTACCTAGTAGGTGCTAAGGCAATTAATTGGAAAATTGTTCCCTACGAATTTATTACGTACATGGTGTTTCATGCTTACAGCTCATTTGCCAATATTAGGATGATTTTGAAACCTTTTTCTTGTATCCTACTAATATTTAAAATGTAAAGATTTGTACGTTTGTAACATGTTTGTTACTCAATCACGCAAAAATTGAACGGATTGGTTGAAATTTGGTATGAATATAGTTTATAACTAAAATTGAGACATATGATACTTTCTATCCAGGAAAAATGTGAGGTTCCTGTGGAATTCTCAAAAAATTCAAGTTGATGCCGACGCAGTCATTAACACAATCTGCATTATTTTGTAAGTTTAATATTCCTTTTTTTCAGGTCCGTGATTCCAGATATGCTTTACAGCAAATTACATAACATTTTGGCAATTCCGATATCTAACATACACTCGCGCGACTTGACTCAGTCTAGTGAAATATCCAACGCACAACAAGTTTTGTTTTTGAGCTGGCCTAATAGCGGGGGAAAATCGACAGAGGGGAACGCTGGGAATGCCTACGCCTCCTGGCCGCGTTGCTCTATGACTCTCACAGAGACTGCACTAGGCGTAGAGGTTTAAAAATAGAGTGGGGAAGGCGGTCTCTCATCTTCTCTCTATTTCTATTAGAGGAACACTTCCACTTGTAGTACAGTCTATATCTCCCCTACTCTATTCTTATACCTCTATGACACTAGGTCCATAAACATCACAATTTTTTTTCCCGACTTGCGTTAAATTTTTAGCTTTTTTAGTAAAATTTTAAAATGTATCGAATTTCTTCATTAGATTCCCGCATCTCGATAATAAGAAAAACAAATGATAATGACACATTTTCCTAATTCGAATTTGGAATTTTATTTAATTTTAACTTTTTAATACCAAAGCCAGCCAGATACAAATGGTATAGTATAGACAAAGAGATTTTATTACAAGTTCATACATACTATTACGCGAAAGATTTTTTCCCCAAGCTATTATTATAAATAACTTGAATTTAGAATTCTTAGAAAAACAAAAACAATGGACTTGGAATAGCAAGTACGGCAGAACAGCTATTTCATAGGTAAAGACCTGTTAATAAATTCTTTGAACTTCAGTGACTTTGCTCCATGTTTTATGATCTGTAATAAAAACAGAGTAAGAATAATGGACCAAGTTAGTGTAGCAAAGTCCTAGGCTCATGAATATTAACTACACAGCTGAACAAGTAATCTATAACTGCACCATGCAATGCAATGCTGGTCGGGTGCCGGGTGGCTCTAATGAGCGATGACCTTAAGCTTCACTATCTGATTTGAGAAATTTTAATTGATCTGTTTAGTGTAGTCACTTTTTATTTCATGATTTACAAAAAGACGATATCCATTTTGAATGTGCTTTATTAATGTTTTACATCTTGTATATTTTTAAACAGAGCCGAAGGGAAAACGACAATTTCGCAATCATTTTTCCACATGTGTAATTTCACAATTACTTAGATAACAGTGTTGGAACAGTCACCTTACTATCAACATGCCAATTATTCAAATAACCACTTTCAATTATCATTTCATGTCAATTACTAACGAATAAATAATCAATTTCAGTAGAATATACTTCAGAAATTATTCACTTATGTGTCTATATTTCATAAAGTACATCTCTCATTAATACCACTATTATTTGCAAAAGGATTACCGAGTTAAATCTCAATGATACATTAGCATAATGTAAAATTATTTATTTGTCTATCAGAAATAATTCCATTCCATACATCCGTTTTATTTGGTATTCAGCTCAGGCCGAATATGCATTTGATACAGTGGAATGTGAAATCTGAAACTTTACAAGCCAAATTAGTTAGTAGATGTTCTACATAAACATCTTAGATTTTTCAAATAGAGTTGGTCGTGACATTATTATCAGAAATGGACACTCCATTAACAACAATCAAAATTTCTCATTTAAGTCTATAATTTAATCATAAATATCCTCTACAGATCTCCTTAGATACATTATATTCAGAATAAAGAGTTCCGAATGAACCGTGTCCATGTTTAAACACTTCACTGCGTCAAATATATAAGTTTATCACTCTTTTATGACGTCGGGGCACTGTCTCTTAGGGGAGGTTTCATCGACAGCTGGTTCTTTCCTCTTGAGAGACTTGGCGTCCCCTTTTTGTTCATCAGCTACTTCTATCGAGTCAGTTTCGTCTCGTGGTGAATCTTCGAGTCTATCGTTGGTTGGTTGAGAGTTGTCGTATAAGTCCGCATCGCCTTTATCCTCGTATTCGCTAACGTCAGCGGTGGCCTCCAATCTCTCAGCTGCTTGCTGCGACGTGGAGTTCTGAGCGCATTCTCTAGACCGTTTGTTAACGCTGAGTCGCGTCGTAAGAGCTCTATACAACTGGTGGATGTCCGACGGAGCGCCCTGTAAAACAGTTTTCACTATTTAACATATCAAATATAAACATTATTTTCTGTCAGTTTCAATTTAAAGTCATTCGTGAGCAAAATACTATAAAATGACGCATGTGAATGAGTTACAATGATTAGATTTTTTGTAGTGCTTTTTTATTTAATGCTCCCGTGTCTGTCCCGTGGTCCCAAGAGGGTTCTCGACTTTATCTGCGTGGAAAAATTGGTTTCCCATACTAATTTACACCCTCCTTTTCACCCCCTTAATGATAATTCGTGAGATTTTTAGTATTTCTAAACCAAATTGCTTATGCGCAAACATGTGACAGACAGACAGACAGAAAAACACAAAGACTTTTACATTTATAACATAGTATGGATTATTGGCAAAAAAGCAGGCCGATGGTTATCAATCACCACCAATTTTTATTGTTGATTAAAGACTTGCGTCTCGCTTTTCTAACATTGCAGGCCACAGTTTAGTATTGATGATGTGAACAGACAGACGAGACAGAGCGATCTCACTATGAAGAGGAACACCTTGACCTGCTGCTGGGCGTCTGAGGCGGTGATCCTCAAAGACTTGGTGCTGGCCCGTTCAACCACCATGCATAGCGGGCTAGTTTAGTATTGATCTAAGATTACAACAGACAGACAAACGAGACAGAGCGATCTCACTATGATGAGGAACACCTTGACCTGCTGCTGCGCGTCTGAGGCGGTGATTCTCAAAGACTTAATGCTAGCTCGTTCAACCACCATGCATGGCGGGTCAGTTTAGTATTGATTTAACATTAACAACAGACAGACAGACAGACAGATCGATCTCACCATGATGAGGAACAGCTTGAGCTGCTGCTGGGCGTCTGAGGCGGTGATTCTCAAAGACTTAGTGCCAGCTCGTTCAACCACTATGCATGGTGGGTCAGTTTAGTATTGATTTAACATTAACAACAGACAGAAAGACAGATCGATCTCACCATGATGAGGAACAGCTTGACCTGCTGCTGGGCGTCTGAGGCGGTGATCCTCAAAGACTTGGTGCCGGCCCGTTCCACTACCATAGCGGGCCACAGTTTAGTATTGAGCACGACCCGTAATGACCCCGCTACTCTGGCGACTAGCCGCGACCCGCCTGTAGAAGCGTCGTTTAACCGCAGCACGCCTCGCCCACGTTCCCTCCAACTGCCCGTCTCCCAAGCGAAAAATCGGCACGAGATCTGTACGCACACAGAATAAGACATCATCATTAACTAGATGTGCCCTGCGGTTTCACCCGCATTAATTTGAGGAAAAAGGTTAGGGGGCATATATTACGTGAGGTGTTTTTTGAATTTTCTATCCCTCCTTCCGCCCCTGGTGAGATGTCGTGAGATTTTTGAACATGGCCAAATTAATTATCAACATTGGATTCGGGACGATCGCACACGAAATCGCTTTCCAACCACAAACGACAGTAAAAGGAAAATAATTAGCTTTGGCTCAACATGAAAGATGTATAATGCGATTCAACTAAGAATAAGACCGACTGGGCGCCATATTTTGATGTCATAGCTGTCAATTCAAACCAAATAGGTAGAGTAAGCAAAAAAAATTTTATTTAATAACTTATTTAACTTATTTACTAAGATTAAGTGAGAAAAAGCATCAGTTTTTTTAAATAACAGTTATTTACTAACATTGAGAAAAAAAAGACACCGATTTTTAATAATATTTATCAGAATTTATTTTTATTCAGATTAATCAGGATCTAGCTCTTCTATTCCGCTATCTCTGCATTACCGCCGGAGTAGTTATGACTAATCATGCACTATTACTTGGTCGCATACGAACATGCATCTTTTATGTAAACGAAAGTTTGAAATCGAGTTTCTGAACACAACTTAAAGTGACAATTGGTTGAAGATTTAGGTTATCAACCATTCATAATCAAAGCTCAATAAATGAAAAAAAATATCAACAAATAATATTTATCAATATTTGTTATTGTTTCTTTATAAATGTTTGGTATTTATTCTAGAATTAGCCGAGTGCTAAAAAAGGTTCCAAGATTTTTTGCAAAGTGTACTTTACAAGTAACATTTGACAGATGGAGGTCATTGGCTTTCCTATTCTTATTTGAATCGCACTATACGTAAATTTTGCATGGAAAAAGTTGCTCTGTCTCCTTTTTTCGCCATGGTGCAACGCTGCGATCGGTTCGTGGTTCCCCCACCTCCTTCTTCGCACCTAGCGAATTGTTCGTAGCGTGATGTTTACAACGTGTAACAGAAATAACGCACACCCTGAAAGTAGTTTGTTTGGAATTGGCTTCAGAATGAATTTCGATAAAAAATTACAATTAAAATAATTAACATTAAAATTAATCATTATCAAACAAAAGAATATGATACATAATGAAAGTTAATAAGGGCTATTTTCAAACAGCTATTTGCAACGGTACATGAAATAATTTTACCAACATTCGAGATATCACTGGTTAAACTGATTAAATGAAAATTACTAATAGTGATTCATTTGTATGTTTGTAACAAACTATGTACTTTCAGGGTCTGAGTTATTTCTGATACACGTTGTAGCCTATAGCCTTCCTTGATAAGTAGATTATTTATCACAAAAAATGTTTTTTTCAAATAGAACACTGTACTTCCTGAGAGTTGTGCGTACAAACAAACTTTTCAGCTTTAAAATATTAGTATATATGTCCCCACTGCTGGAGCATAAGCCTTCTCTATGGATGGAATAGGGAGAATGGGCATTACCCACTCAGCTGGCCCAGTGCAGATCGATGGGTGTTCTGCATTTCCACAGAAGCAATTGATCATTAGCATTTCTCAGAATTCAGACACAACTTGCTTCAAACAGTATCATTTTAAAGACTGATCAGCTCCACCCAACTCCTCTTCTATGGATCCACCACCCACATTAGTGGGTAGTAACTAATGCAAATACAGCCGAACCAACAGTTTAACATGCCTACCAAAGCACAACAAACCACACTTGAGATAATAAATTTTTAGTCACCCATTCTATGACCGGCCTATGACCGAAAGCGCTAACCACTGCGCCATCGAGCTCCTCCGTTCATACGTCACATGCACTTCGCTTATTCAATACCTTCAAATGAAGCGCATGCTAACCACAATCGTAATTATACTTATCTAATAATTCCGGTGTGACATTCATGATAGTAAATGAAAACTGTATTGTAATAAATGAATGGTTTAAATTAAGAATTAGCCAATACTCTATGACTATACACAACTGTATTCTAGTATACATCCAGGCAAACTTCTTGAACAGTGACCATAGACAAGGAAGCCTGCGCTTTTTTACAAACAAAAGTACCTACATATTAAGTAGTTAAGAGGTTGGTTCCGGCTTCATCTGAAGTCGTCAGCACCCACCAATCCGCACTGGGCCTGGGTGGGTCATGGCACAATCTCTTTATACCATCCCGCATCCGTAGGGAAGGAATGTGCCCCAGCAGTGGGGACATTAATAGACTGATGATGATGATGTGCATACATCTTTCCTTGACATATTTTTTCTAATATCCATACCTGCAGTACATTGGTCTCTCCCTCTTCCCCTGTCGTGGTATAGTTAGTGGTTGGTGGGGGCGGACGCGCGTGCGATCGCTCGTATTCAGCTGCGGCCGCGGCCAGACTGGAGCTCTCCGAACTACTGCTTGCTTCACTTGGTCCTGGCTCCTCTTGTTGCTAAAACAATACCCACATGTTTATAGCCAACTAGAGGGTTCCTGAAGTTTCGTCTCTGAAAAATTGAATTTCCCACACAAAAATTTCCACCCCCTCAGTGTATCAAGTGTAAAGAGATTACAGACAGACAGATCCACTTTCACATTTATAATTATTAGTATAGACTAGCGGACCAACCAGACTTTGCACAGGAGTTTTTTTTTTAATGTGATAAAAAGCCAGCCTAAGTCCGTAGAATAATGTAGCTTGCTACTGGTGTGGTAATTTTTGAATTTGGTCCATTTGTTTTTACATTATTCACTTCAAGCAAAAACACAAAATACTTATCATGATATAGTAATTCCTTATACATCCACAAAAGGAACATTTAGATATAAATTATTAATATTATAAGGATATCAATTAACAAAAATCAATTATTCAATGTAAGATGTAATGGACATTTATCAGTATTGGTATTGGGGATGCATGATACAGATACCAATATGAATGTCAATTTTGGAATTAGAATGGCTAAACAAGATATTGAATTGTAACTCTATATGTATACAAATATGTCTATAAAGATTTGTTTGTACCTATCTATTAATTTTAAGAAAATTCATCATAAACATTGTAATAATTTATTTAAGAAATTTTATAATTAAGTTAACTTTATTAGAGATTGATATTATTAATTCAATACTTAATTATTTACCACCATCAGTTAATAAAGTCAAAATGATATTGAGAAATCCTAGTGTATGATTATCACATTCCCACAGACATTAGCATCATTGCATCGCTTATCATAATGTTACTTAAATATATTTTGTTAAAACCTGGTTGTTCTCCTTAGCTGATGCCACAGCGGTTGTGAATAGCAGCTCTGTGGCTCCATTTGTGGAGCTATGATCAACTGCAGACGCCTCACCGTTGTTGACATTCTCATTCAATACAACTCTCTCACTTAAATTCTGTCCAAACACAAAACCAGCTGAGCTAGAAGCCGGTTGAGCTGGAGCTGTAACTGGATTATTTGTTCTCGGTGTGACATTTGCAGAACCCAGTGGTATGAATTTTGGAGCCTCAGATTCATCTTTATCCTTATTATCTTTTAGCCTATCCTCAGTTTTTTCTTCTGTTTCACCATCACTCTTTTCTTTACTTTTCTCCTTTTCACTTTCAGCTTCAAAAGTCTCTGTTACTTTTAGAAATGGATTAGTTGTAGCTTTTAACTGTGGTGGACGCAACACTGAACCTGTAAAGAAAGTTGAACTTCAGCAAAACTTTAAAAAGGTTGTAGTAGAATTTCCACAATTGTAGCACCAGTATTGTAATTTTATTGTAGTTAAGTTACATGGATATCAATTTATTCAGCAAATATTTGCAAGTACACCATTAGAAAATACAGGACAATATAACAATCCACAAGGGGAACGAACAACAAAAAACCCATAGATAAGAGTTATGATATAAATATTGTGAATAAATACATCACAAACATCAAAACAAAGTCAATTTTCAAGATTATTTGTCAAACATTTCTAAACACACATTACAAAAAAATGCAGCCAACTCTGCAGTGATATTCCTGGGTTGCCAGAGGTCCATTGGTCTATACCCATGGAGCTGCAAGCAGATACTTAAAATTAACAAACAAGAAAATTGTGTTCCATTAACTATACAGAAGACTGAATAGGATAGAAAATGCCCACAAACATCACCAGCAATTTCAATGGCCATTTTCAAGATTATTTGTCAAACATTTCTAAACACACATTACAAAAAAATGCAGCCAACTCTGCAGTGATATTCCTGGGTTGCCAGAGGTCCATTGGTCTATACCCATGGAGCTGCAAGCAGATACTTAAAATTAACAAACAAGAAAATTGTGTTCCATTAACTATACAGAAGACTGAATAGGATAGAAAATGCCCACAAACATCACCAGCAATTTCAATGGCCAATGGACGTTACTATTGATTTAATATTGTAACAATACAAAAATAAAAGCCAACAAACCACTAACAGTTGTTCATAATCACTTATAGACTCAACTCATACTCAATATAACCACAGTACCTGTCTTTTTTAATGTTTATGCTGGCAAACAAGCTGGCTGTTCACATAATGTTACTATTGATTTAATATTGTAACAATACAAAAATAAAAGCCAACAAACCACTAACAGTTGTTCATAATCACTTATAGACGCAACTCATACTCAATATAACCACAGTACCTGTCTTTTTTAATGTTTATGCTGGCAAACAAGCTGGCTGTTCACATAATGTTACTATTGATTTAATATTGTAACAATACAAAAATAAAAGCCAACAAACCACTAACAGTTGTTCATAATCACTTATAGACTCAACTCATACTCAATATAACCACAGTACCTGTCTTTTTTAATGTTTATGCTGGCAAACAAGCTGGCTGTTCACATAATGTAAGTAAGTAGTCCCTGCCAGCCATGGACATTGGACATTGATTTCTTAGACGTTACTATTGATTTAATATTGTAACAATACAAAAATAAAAGCCAACAAACCACTAACAGTTGTTCATAATCACTTATAGACTCAACTCATACTCAATATAACCACAGTACCTGTCTTTTTTAATGTTTATGCTGGCAAACAAGCTGGCTGTTCACATAATGTAAGTAAGTAGTCCCTGCCAGCCATGGACACTTGCAGCACATTATTTAAAACTAATAAATTAACACTGATGATGTGAAATTAAACAAAGATTGATTGATGAAGATGAAACATAGATGTTAATTTTAAATATTACAAATGTGCAGCTAGTAAAAATATTATTAGGTGATACTTGAAAAACCATCTAAATGGACAACTGTAGATATTTCAAGTCTAATTTGTAAAACATTGTGAAATGACAACTCAAATAAATCAATGATGATAATTAAAACCATCATTTACTGTAGAAATTTTATTTAACCCTTTAAAAATGTAAAGAATATATGGCAATTCACTATATCTTTATCACTTTAAAGTTAATTAATAGTTTAGGAAAGAGTTTAGTAAATAATGACTTCAGAGCAATAGTTAAAACTTGTGGCATCAAATGTGAAACAACCAAATATTATACTGACAGTGGAAAAGAAAAATCGCATGCAAGCCACTTTAGTGTTGCATAAAAATTTATATTGAATAAAAACAGAAGAGTTTATTTTTAAACAGCACTGTCAATATATTTACTTGAGCTAAGCAGCATAATTTGTATAAATTAAAAGCTGTTACTACTCTATCCACACAAACAATTAAGTATGGATGAAATAAGCTTATGTCATTGGCTAGAGTATTAAAGCAGGCTATGTGATATAAACTTTTCACTTTGCCAAATATAAAATGTATAGAATAGCTCAAAGGTGTAAACAGGGACATGTTTTAAAATCTGGCTCCCCAGGGCACTTGCAATGTGCATACTAGAATTAAACCCAGCTTTCTTTAAAGATGATTCAACACTAAAGCAACACCAATATCAATTATCAAATATGTTAAGATAACATATGTTTAGTAAAATATATAAATATTGCATTTACCAAATGGATTGCAACTTTTGTTAGAACTGGATGGAAAACTAGAAGAGCCAAAACCACCTAGCCTGGGTTTAGCTAGTACGACCCGAGACTGGGATGATCCATTGCAGTAATCCTCCATGGGTGATTTGCCTGAAACAAAATAAAAAATTACATACAGTTAGGAACACTACTCAGATATCTAACCTCTAAATTAATGTCAGCTGATGGCGACTACAACGTACTTTCTTGAAATTATTTACTCAAGTGGATTTAACCATTACGACAAAGGCAAAAAGATAATGAAAGGAATACATAAACAGGTAAATAAGGTACTACAGAAATCTATAATATGGTAAGTATCTGGACGACACCTACAACACTTCATGCACTGTGCAGAATAAATATCAGTAAATAATAATCTGTTGTGTACTTGAAGTACGCTACATTACCAAAGCAAAAAAATTACGTTGACAATGCTGCTGCATGAACAGCTTGTTGGCTAACAATGAGCGCGCATATATCGAGTTTACATAAATTAGTTATTTAAGCAAGCAATACCGTGATTTTTTGTAAAAATAAGTACCTGAAAACGTGAATAACTAGAAAGAAAAGTAGAAAATTTATAATTCATACCTTGCTTTGCGTCTGCCATCACAGATAATTTCTTTACTTTTAATTTTTTTTCTTATAAATGTCGTGCGTGTTATTGGGACAGGCAAAGTGATTATGTCCATACAGTCAAAAAAATATATATAGAACCATAGACTTAGTATTTAAAGACTGACAGCGTGCGAAAAGAGATTTCATGCCCATACGACAAAGCCTACAAGGTAGAAAGAGACGCAACATGATGTCCCTTTGTAGAACGTGGCTTTTTTTCCTTGCAGAACTGTCAAGTGTGAACTGGCATCATAATTTCGAACCTCATCCCGATACGTAACAATATTCATATCCTACTCAACGAGCCCTAAACAATGTCGTATCACGCGTATGAGACCCCCCATTAAAAATAATGAGATTTTGAAATAACAATTCGGCTTTACTTGTTCCGTTTACGATTAATAGACCCGTGCCATACGGACAGACAGATGATAGAATGTCAGCAATAAGGCTTCGTTTTTACCCTTTGTGTATGGACCCTTAGAAAAGTTTAAAATTTTTGCTACTGGCAGTCTCAAACCAAATAAAAAGTAAAGACGAAGTTCTGCCAACAACAAAGTGAAGCCGGTTTTTTATGTATGTGTGCATTAGCCTGTGTTGCCATAGTCATTTGTAGTACCCCAATATTAGAAATAGTTACAACGTTATTTCTTAAAAATTCATAACGTTATTATTAACGTTATAAAATATTAGAAAAAAATATTATAGGCTTATTCACCAAATTAGTCCAGATTAGTTGTACACTAGCGCCAGATGCAACCTCTCGTGAACCATGAGCAAAGATCATGCGCCGTTCTCACCTACAAGTGCCAGACTCCTTTATGGGGCCTCCATCTGAGTGGGAACGATTACATTGTTTTGCCGATTTCTCTGTTATTTTGTAAGAATACCCTACACAAACTATATGTATTTGGATTCTCCATAAAATTTTCTATAAAACAGTGTGTACACAATGCGTCATGTCTATAATTTTAATTACGTTACGGTAAACTCAGGAAAGATAAAAAAAGTCGTTTAGTTGGGTAAAGGGAGGTATATTTTAAAATTTGTAAATTTTTATTCCACGTTTTTGGGTTATTAGACAATTTTATTATAAGTTACCAAATAAAATACCATACTCTCACACTTTTATTGTACAGTATATCATAAACCATCAGAGCGCAAGATTCGACACGCTAACACGGAATAGAAGAAAGAATATTTTAAGTGGTGATAAAAACGAATGCGAAGTCCAAATGCCTTGATTTATGTGGTAACGTTTAGTGGGATTGTTTATTTTACTTTAGTTACAAGTGGTAAGTCTCGGATGAATAGTTTTCTTCATTTTAGAGTTTCAAGCACTCGCAACAAGTCACTTAAAATCGCGTACCAATCAATCATCTCAATTTTATGTCGATAAAACGAAAAGTATTTACAATTTTAATAAACAGTTTCTTTTATTAAAATGTACATGAAAGTTGCTACAGAATACACGAAACAATGGTTCATTTCTACTCTTACGAAAGACCGCAATCCAGTTCTCTTTTAGATTTTGACCTCGATTATCCTAAAAAAACACGTATAATATACAATTTGTATTAATTACATCCCAAAAATTTTATTCGAATACATAAAGAAAAAAGATAATTAAATGAGATAATAAACATGTTTCTTTTAATTGTTTATCCATGCATTACAATATTCGAATAATATAAAAATATGCTACACATTATTAATGTATGAAGTAACGTAACGTTATGTTATATTTCACGTTACCCAACAACAGGGAAAATCTAACGTATAATCATGGCAACATTTGGTGGTGGTTTTGTGTTGGTTTTGTGTTCCAAGCGACAACCTCCAATTTGATTTTGATTAATTGAAAATATCACTTTATAAGTTTACTTAAGTATGAAATGTGATTCCATGCTGTTTTTTATTTTCGGAAGATTGGTTTCTACACATTTTTACTAAAAAATTCGGTATTTTCTAATAAATATTGTTATTTATTAATACTCGACTGGGAAGCCAAGGCGTAGTTTCGTTGCATCTGTGAGCGTGTAACTGTGTATGTACACGGCGAGGCGTAGTTTTATCGGCTTCACTTTTTTGTTCGGTAGACTCCGTCTTTACTTTTTATTTGGTCTGAGCTGGCAGTCTACTGCAGACTAAAGTCAGAAACATATATTTGCGTGTCGTAGCGCGCCTATAGTTGTTAGTAACCAGTTCAAAACTGAAACGCACCTTTTAAATCCCGAAAGCCACCGTTTTAAACGGTGTAATACACGACTGCGGAGACAAAAGAGAGTTATGTATTTAGAATTGTAAAGGCATAAAATAACGTACAATATATGGTTGTTTTCCAATTACAGAGCATAATGCGACTCAGTGGCGCACAATGCCGAACTATGCTGATGCTTAACTGGAACGTGAATTAGTTTTAAAATGCACCAGCAGAGTGCGCTAAGTTCAATGTTGAAAAAAAAGTCAATGTTTGTACCTTTATCCATACTTATATTTATTTTTAACACAGTTTGAATTAACTTTGATTATTTTAAAAAAATACTATAATGAAACGAAAGCTTTAATAATTTTTCAACAATAAATATTATTACTAACGATAACATATAAATAAAACATTTCGAGCAATGCCAACTTAAAGAAAACACTTGTTAATTTTCTGTCACTGAGTTGGTACGATTGCACGTATCACACGAAAGCATTCCTTTTGAGAGTGCTCTATTGTGTGAAGCGTTGCTGTGTATGCTTTCCAATTACAGAGCATAATGTGACTCAGTGCCGCACAATGCCCAATTATGCTGATGCTTAATTGGAACGTGAATTAGTTTTCAAATGCACCAGCAGAGTGCGCTAAGTTCAGTGTTGAAAAAAAAAAGTCAATGTTTGTACCTTCATCCATACTTATGTTTATTTTTTAACAGTTTGAATGGACTTTGATTATTTAAATAAAACTATTTAATGAAACGAAAGCTTTAATAATTTTTCAACAAAAAATAATATTACTAACGATAACTTAAAAATAAAACATTTCGATCAATGCCAACTTAAAGAAAAAACACTTCTTAATTTTCTGTCTCTAAGTTGGTACCATTGCACGCATCACACGAAAGCATCACTTTTGAGAGTGCTCAATTGTGCGAAGCGTTGCTGTAGTTGGAACACTCAACGTTAAGCATTATGCCGCATAATGCGCTATAATGCTGTAATTGGAAAGCAACCTGTAGTTGCAACATTAAACGTTAAGCATTATGCTCCATAATGCGCTCTAGTGCTGTAATTGGAAAACCATCTATAACAAGCTAGTTACTTGAATAGTTATATTTGTTGAAATAAAATATTTACAAGAAAAAAAGAATATTACTACTTGTCATATTATTGATTGAGCTGCTGGTCCCAGCTGCATCTGCAGTCGGTAGCACCCACCAATCCGCACTGGGCCCGCGTGTTTGATCACGGCCCATATTCCACCCTCCCTATTCCATCCATAGGGAAGCCCTGTGCCCCAGCAGTGGGGATATTAATAGGCTGATGATGATGATGATGTAATTATATGATGATGATGAAAAACAGGATATAATGTAAATTGTAGAGCTAGAGGCGCTGTGATTGCTCAGTAGTCTTAATAAAAGCGGGCTATTTTGAAATGACCAATGCAGCGATGAAAATTTGTTCATTATTCAACTAACTTCATCTACTTGTACTCATATCAACATACAAATTTTCGGGGAGAGGCGGGCTAATGCTTTAAGTTAGTTGAATATTGTACAAATTTTCTTCGCGGCATTGGTCATTTTAAATTAGCGCACAACAACCCGCTTTTATTGAGACAACTTAGCGTACCTAAACCGAAAATAGACCAGAAACAGACTATTTTGGACAAATATTTTATGATTGCGGAAGTAGTTTCGGTCTTATATAAAAAAAATATTGCACAAAAAACATTTAAATAAAGATGATGGCTGCATGGCTCTGCCTTTGCCTTTTTCCAAGCTGGGAAAAACAGACTAAAAAAATCAAGTCAGAGGTTTTTGGCGGGATTTCATCGAGTTCTATTGGCGTCTTATTAAAATTATTATTAAATTCGTTCATAGTGGATATTATGAAAAAGAAATTGGTGTAATTTTGTGTCCGTCTGCGCAACTGAAGAATTAGTGGAACCTTTAAAATATACGCTATTCCGGTCAAGTGGAAGTGAGAACTTTATTGTAGTATTGACTACCTCACAGAAGCTTATCGAAAAAGCCACCTCGATACATTTCGTGCCAAATACTCCAAGAGACATTAGAATGCGTCAAACCAACATTCTTATATAAAAAAAGAATAACTTAAAATTAGATTTGACGACCTCCGTGGTCGAGTGGTTTTGTACGCCGGGTTTCATGGTGTCGTCGACTCGAGAGGTCCCGGGTTCGAATCCTGGTGGGGGCAGATGTTTGTGTGATGAATACGAGCATTGGTACTCCAGTCATGGATGTTTGATAGGTATGTATTTCTATATAAAAATATACTTATTTAAGTACACTATATGTATTCTATCCGATACACTAGTATCCCATAACACAAGCCTTACCGTGCTTACTTTGGGGCTAGGCTAATTGGTGTGTGTTGGAAATATTTATTTATAAGGCTGTATGGGCATTGTTCCTTTTGCCTTCTCTAAAATGGAAAATCTTAAAAAATCAAACAATCTGACTGTCAATGCCATTAAAAAAATGGTCTCATTGAGCTGTGATTTTGAAATTCCTTTCTCTAAAACGCTAGAAACATTCCATAAATTACTTAAATAGTTTTCTATTAGCAAAAATATCAAAGTAGATTACATTGCTTAAATGTAGTAAGCAATACTACAAAGGAAGGTGATCAAGCACTAGTTTTGTTTTCTCAGAAAAAACTCAATATATTTATTGTTTTGTGGGTGATAAACCTAGAAATAATAATTGGCAGATTTTTAAGAACTGCAATGTTTTTTGTTCTGAAGAATAATTATTAAAATCGTTTAGGTCTAGGAGGTAAGTACGGATAATTTATTCATCAATGCCTATTATTTAAGTTGCTTAGAACATTTAAATCACAATAAATGACAAAGGTCAATAGCAACAAATAATTCTATTGTAATGGTTTTGGCAAGCCTGTATTATTTTGTACCTAGTATTTAGAAATATTTTTAATTTAGCTAAACTTTTACAACAACAGTTCTATTATAATATAAAGTTAACATTGTTACTGAGTTGGGGACCAACAACAATAGATTTGGTGACTAAGTGGTAGGTCATATTATTATTATTTTCTGTATTTAATTGATGACTCATTTTTCATTCTCATCATTATTAATTAAGGCCTCATATTTTATGTGGGGGTGGTGGGGGGGGGGGGGTCTCCCCGTGTCTCCCCGGGTCTCCCCGACTCCCCCCCTACTCTAAATATCTATGCAAGTTGAGATATATGTATTCATTTTGTTGATATTCAAGTACTTTTCTGTATAGTTTTAAATAATTCACAGTTTTGCTGATTTACTCTCTTAATATTAAGTAGTGTTTTGAACACATTTGCTGTCAAATTAATATCTTATTTCTTTTAAGATAGTTTGGAAATGCTGCTTTGCGACTTACCCTACCCAGGTCCAGTGCTAATTTTGTCAATTATTACTCCTTTTAAAGAGTTTAAACATGATTATTGAATCTTTCATATGTATGTCTGATTACAATGTAAATTTAATATAATAAAAAAAATACAGGTTTAATTCATATTAGTATGTATTGCTTGAATGAGCAAACAGCATATCCATTTACCTAAATTATAGAGAACAAACAAGTAAATAACTCATTCTTAAAAAAAATAGACTATTTGTGAAATGGTCAATATTTGCAAATGATGTATTAAAAGCAGTCAAACAACATTGTAAATATGCATTTGCTGTACAATTTTTGTTAGCTCTTGGAATGGCAAATAACCTGTTGGTGCGACAAACACTTTAAGTGGGAATTTGAATCTATCTGTTTACTATGACTCACACACACAAACTTTCCTCTTTATAATATTAGGTAGTGTGATAATGTAATTATGGAGTGTAGGTTCTCTTCTCACCCTTAGTCAGAGGAAATTTCAAGGTTTTTCAAGCAACACCATTAGTTTTTCAATGCAAATTGACATTGATAATCTTGCATGGTGTTGGATAAATCCTGCAACTTGGTGGTAACATTTGCTGTTGACCAATAGTTTTTTTCGAGGTTATGAATATGCACATGATAGTCATCAATCCAACCGCTGATCTCTCATAATGCTCGCAGCTGAAATTTACAGGTTGTCATGATGTCTGTAACTTCGTTCTTGATGTCATCAACCATGGATCGAAAGTTACTCATTTCAGTAACAAATATGGTTTTTATATTAGGTGTAAAACTATCCAATATTGAGTTCAACTCACTCGTAGCAAAACTATTGATCTAACCAAATTCAGCATTATGCGTTCCAATGCATCAATTATATAGTTTTCAGGCTGCGTTCTTTTTCAGGTGTTTACTTCGGAATGTTTGTCACAGCTTACCCTGAGGTTAGGATTTGATGCACGGTATTAAGTACGGAGGTGACCGCGGTCATCGCGACAAACATTAGTAACAAGCACAGCAAATAATGTGTTACATGTCTCGTACCTAATGCATTCCACGCACAACTGTCAATTCAGTTTTATATATTACTTATTCCTGCCACTTATATTATTATCATAAAAAATAATTATATAATGATGTTAGTCATCCTGGCTTAAGCCAATTCATTCAATATAATTGAAATTGAAACAATCATGACCATGTCAGATACAAAACACCTTTTCTTTATAATATAAATTTTGCTATATATGTTACCGGCAATATGTATAATTCGGCTTTCTATATAATACCTAGGCAATGTATAAAATGCCAAAAATCTCAAGGCAATATATAAATTTTATTCATTTTATACTTTGGGTAGGTATTCTATACAATGCCAAATGCGCCATTGGCAATGTATGTAAGAGAAGAAAGCGCATTGATTTTCCTTGTTTTATTGATCTATTATCTGAATCAGGCCGAGAATTTGCCACATTTCATGTCCTCCAAAGTTTGTTTTTATATACCTAGTCAGGTCATAAATTCTGTCACATGTTTAATATAAAATAATTGATACAAGTTAATTCATTATGTAACCATTTATATACCAAAATGAACTTAACAAAACGTAGATTCTTCTGAAAATAAAGTTTATTCAAAATGACCTTCATGATTTTGAATACAGGCCTTCAATCTCGTCGTCTATCGCAGCACGAAAGAGGTGCATGTCAATATCGGCGGCTGCCTTAATCAAGGATGTTTTGAGTGACTCCAAATTGTGATGAGGCTTTGAGCACGCCTTTTCCTCCAAGTGTTGCCATATCTTGTAATCTATCGGACTCAAATCTGGACTGGAGGAGGGCCAGTGTTCGTGCCGGGTGAAGTCGATTTCACGCGCCGTTAGCCAGTCTTGTGGGCTATTCGCTCTATGAGCTCGCGCCGAATCTTGTTGGAATACCCAGTGCCTGTTATTGAACAAGGTATGAGAAACAGGTTCCACAAGGTTCGTCAGGACTGTATTTTGATACAAAACTGCATTCGTTTTTACACCTTTCTCACAAAAATTTACCTCTGTTAAGCCCCAATAAAAAACTCCCAACCATACCATGAGCGAGGATGGAAAATGACCTCGTTGGACACGCGGAATACGGTTGCTCGCTTCTTCACTACTGTGTGCGTATACTTTATCATTTTGTTTGTTGTAGCTCTCTTCTACGATAATAATTTTTCATCCGAAAAAAGAATTTTCCGATATTTTTTTCCCGCGTACCGCTTCAACAAAGCGCGGCATCTCTTCAGTCTCAGGTCCATAAGACGAGCATTCAAACGATGTCCTGTTTTTCTTCGATATGCCCGAAGCCCTAAGTCTTCATTTAACACCCTTTTCACCGTAGTTCTGCTTAACCCCTTATGAAGGGCCAACAGTTTCTGCTTACGTTTGGGATTTCTTAGAATTCGCGCCTTCACAGCTTTTATCACTGCTGGAGTCCTAACAGACCGAGGGCGACCACTTCTTGACCTGTCATCTACACTAGAGTCTTCATTGTGTCGTTTGATGGTACGATAAATGAATCTTATAAATATTCAAAAACTTGAATTGGCGCGTAACCGCAACCGTCTTCTTTAAGCGTCCACTCCATATTTAAAAATGAGTAAAATTCTAAAAAGTGTACATTTTTATTTTCATGAACAATTCGAAATTTGAATTCAATAAACTTTTTAGTGGCCAGCATTCTAAAAGAAAAGTTCTTACTGTGTGACAATACTTATGACCTGACTGTGTATATTGTTAGTAGTAGTAAAAAGGGATTTCCTGGATTTTTTTTTCGTCACGTCAATCGCTGGCCGCTGCCACAAGAGGCAGGTGTGGTACGTGTTGGCGATTTAGGCGTATTAAACAGGTCGTGATGAAAGTTGCAGGGACTGACGCAAAATGGCGTATTATGCGAGAAATTGTATTAAGCGTGATCGTATTAAACGGGTTCTACTGTACTTATATTATTTATTTAATACAAACACAACTACTCCTTTTTGAAGTTAGGTAAAAAACCATCGACGTTTCTATTTTCGACATTATGCATCTCTATTCGGGACGTAAAAACCGAGTACAATCAATCGTCCGTGTGCGACGTCCATCCGATCGGGGAACCAAATTGGAGAATCGGATCAAGAACCTGATATGAGCGCCCAGCATATTATGCAGAGTCATTGCGTACCACGACCGTACGTATACCACGCCTCGTCAGCCTTTGTAATGTGTTCGCTAGCCTAGCAGTCGCGTGTTTTTCCTTTCGCACGCTCGTCGCGTCTCGTGCATTCGATTATGTCCTATTAGTATTAAATTTTCTATAACGCGCCAGTGCATATTACCTATAACGAGTTTTAACATTATATTTCGTACGTTTTACGCCTACTTTGGTTCAGTGATGTTAGTGTTTGTCTAATACGTTGAAAGTATGAATGTTGAGTGAATAGTGTGATTCAAAGTTTTGTTAGTGTTTCAAAACTAATAGGATTTTAGTCTATTCCTAATATGAGATTGAGTGCTGATTTGGGCAACCACTCCAATAATGGTAAGAAGATGTAAATATACATGCCTTTTCTTGGAAAAAAAAAATTAACACTGCGGAATAATACCAATTAACTTTAACGAGAAGCTGTGCACAACTTGCCGGTTGATTCCCGAACGGTTTAATAAAATACATATTAATGTATGATTCGTACAGGTGTTATACCAGGCCACTCAAAGTTTTGCGAAGAAAAGTTTTTATGTATAAGACAATGGCCACTTGTAATTATTTTGAAAACCAATTATTTAAAAGTAAAAATGCCACAGTTCTATTTTCAAATTTCCATCCGCATTTTTTCGAGAGCCAATTAATTTTTTTTTGTCTCATTAAAAAATGGATCTGCATCGAGAACATTTTCATGTTGTTTTTTTACGATTTTAAATGTGGCTAAAACCTGATGAGTCATTTGATCGATTTCGAACTATTTATTTATTTTATTTGTTGTATTTATGGCTTTGTTTGTCAATAAATTATTTCTTTCTTTCTTTATTAGACAAATACAATCATACACATACAAAAACCACACACGAAAACCTGTTAAGGTTTATGTGTAGTATGGCAGCCACTCATTTACCACTTTATACACTTTCAAATTGACTATTTTGTGAGTAATATCTTTTAAATTTATATTTATTAATTACAATGTTCGAGTACATTTCCTGTAGATTACTAGGTAATTCATTGAGATAGGAAGGTATTAAATAACATTATTACATTTCGGCAACAAAAACTTTCTACGATCCAACACATTTCTCAGATTATCTGGTCTCTTATTTATTAATAAATAATATTATATTCAAGTACTTAGTCTCGTTACATTCGGTTAGAATTACGTATTTTACCTTGTCATAAACATTCATAACATTACAATATCGAAATAATTCTTGTGAGTTACCTTTATATTTAACATTTATATATTTGGGTACAATTATCTTTAGCATTTTATACTGAATTTTATAAATATCCTCTATGTATGTCTTATAAGTTCTTCCATAACTACTTAGGCCATAACTTACAACAGATTCAGCTAGGGACAAATATATGAGTCTAAGGGTTCTGTATGGTAGTTTATTTTTTAATATAGATAGTCTACTTGCGATTGATCTTAACTTGGCGCATACGTAATCTTTGTGAGGTCCCCAGCAAAATCTCTCGTCAACCAAAAGACCCACATACATATGTTGTTTTACATTGTCAATTGGCTGACACGTGCAATTATATGTCGGGTTATGAATACAATTATGATTGTGACCCACCACGGTGGGTCGGCTTTATTGTGAGAGCTGTGAATATGCAATAACTTAGTCTTTTGAGCGTTCACCACCAAACCAACGTCATGGGCTCATTTACATACGATATCAAAATTATTTTGCATTATTTGTTCAGCTTTACTTACACTTTTGACAGCTACTACCAAGCAGATATCGTCTGCGAATTGGTACACCGATCCCTCTTTAATAAGTGAACACATATCATTGACATAAAGTAGATATTCCATTGGGCCACAGATGAAGCCTTGAGCCGTGCCTATCTTTGTTAGAGTCATGTTACTGTACTGATCACATATTTTAACTACAGTGTGGCGATTCGTGTGGTAGCTTTTGATAAGCTGCAGAAATGGACCCTGTATACCGCATTGAGTTAGCTTATGGTAAAGAGTACTATATTGTAACCTGTCAAATGCCCGACTAAAATCAATAAAAATCACTAAAATGTGTAATTTATTATTTAAATGGTCATTAATTTCAGCAAATTTCGTAACAGCTGCGTAGTGCTTTTATGCTGCTGAAAGCCATATTGATTTGCGTTAATTATGTTGTTTTTGGACAAATATTCATTCACTTGCTCACTTAGGAAACGTTCTTTAATTTTATCGAGACATGAGAGTATAGTTATTGGACGATAATTACTATAATCTAAAATAGAACCTTTTTTTAAAAATTGGTCTAATTACTCCTATTTACTACTTTTATGGATGAAGGACCTTCAAAAGCAACCATCTACCGTTGATGTAGCGAGTTCAAACGCGATCGTCTTACTTCGGATGAACAAAGGAGTGGTCGTCCTACGACGGCTGTCACGGAAGAAAATGTGCTGGCAGTAAAAAAAATAATTCAAGAAAACAGACGAATTACATACGAAGACATTCAGCATACTCTGCAGATTGGTTCAGGAAGGGTTCACAAGATTTTGCACGAGCACCTTTGCGTATGGAGGATAGTTTCCCGCTGGATGCTGCACAACCTCACCGAAGCTCAGAAGCAGGCCCGTGTGGATTGGTGCAGTGATATGATACAAAAATTTGATGCAGGCTCGTCACGGCGCGTTTACGACATTGTGCCAGGTGACGAATCCTGGATTTATCAATTGATCCAGAAACAAAGCGTCCGTCAACAGTTTGGCTGTTTCAAAATGAACCAACGCCTACGAAAGTGAAGCGATCGAGGAGCACAGGGAAAATTTTGATCGCTAGTTTCTTCATTTTGACGGGGTTCAATTCTACTTCGAGACCAAAGCAACATCAAGGCCGAATGGTATAGCACAAAATACCCGTCAGAAGTTTTTTCTGCAATGAACAACAAGCGACCTAATACCGGACTCCGCGGGGTCCTTCACCACGACAACGCGCCCGCGCACTCTGTGATCAAAACGAAGGACTTCCTGGACTCTGACTGGTGTGCAGTCAGAGTCTTGGGACATCCTCCTTACAGTCCTGATTTTGCTCTGCGTGACTTCTTTTTATTCCCTAAAGTAAAAAATCAGCTCAAAGCGATACACTTTTCATCGCCGGAAGAAGCGCTAGCAGCGTTTGAGAAGGCCGTGGAAGAGGTGTCTGCGGAAGACTGGAAAAAATGTTTTGAAAATTGGTTCAGACCCATGAAACTTTGTAAAGAGGCTGGTGGAAAGTTCTTTGAAAAGATTTAATAAAAATTTTTTTCATAAAAGTTAGTTTTTTGGTTTCTCAAAATTTTACGTTTTATATCGACACGTAAGTGACAATTTGTCGTTTCGTTAAAATGCCTTCAATAAAAACAAAATCTAATAAACAATTAAAAAAATGCATTTCGAAAATAACGTTTATAAATGATATTTTGCGATCTCGGCCATTTATTTCTTGCGAAAGAACAATTTATTGAAATAAAATATCAGGAGTGGTTAGGTTAACGCGTTTTGTTTGGCGACTGTCAGTATAGTAATAGTTTATTTGTTGTTATCAGATGGTGAAACTCTTATAAGACTGTCCTCTAAGCTGATGAACCTGATAATAAAGCATTAAAATAATATATTTTTTAAACATTCCACTTTAGATTTTGACACAAATTCATTAAAGAAAGCAAGAATATGATTTTATTTAAAAAATAACATATAGCAGAATAATTCCTAGTATTAATAGGGGTTCTATTGTTACTAGCGAAAAGCGTGGTATTTACTCGTAATAGGTACAAATGTCCTCAACAGTTCTTATATCTTTCTTATGTTAAAAAGGTGGCAAATATGCATATGGCCTGCCTGATGGTATGGTAACCATAGTCTATAGACGCTTGCGCTACCAATTACCTAACCTGCCCTAATCCCCTACCCCGTGGAGTCCTCGTAATCTCATATTTTGACAGCTTTCGACCAAGTATAAAGTAAAACTTCTATAACATAATCACGGAAGAGACTACCTAATTGTAGGGTCAATAGATAAATATGAAGTAAAGTGTTTCACACTTTTGATGTTTATATTTTCTTTCCTATTAGAATACGCCATGGATACAGATGACGAGATGTTTTGTGGTGATGTGCTTGACGACATGCCCCCCGGCTCGGATGCCACATTCCAGGGTGCCATTGGCTCTGGGTCCAACGAAATCGGGGATATGACCTTCTGCATGGGAAACTATATCACAGACTTCATGAAGGTAAGTCAACTCTCATATTAAACTAACCAAAAATTGTATATCGGACCGCGCAGTCCGTTACTTTCTTATGTAAAAGTGGACATACACAGTACGAGAAATCGTTACGATCAGACTGTACAGTTCGAACGGAACAGTTTATCGTACGTGGCGTGCGTATAGAAAACTGTGCAGTTTTATAACATACACGCTACGATTTATCGGTACCGTTCGGACGGTACAGTCTAATCGTAACGATTTCTCGTAGTGTGTATGGCTACCATACGGGTACTGAATGCATTTCGAATTCGATATTGGTCAGTGCTAAGGAGCATGAACCAATATCGAATTCGAATAGTTTAATTAGATCACGATACGCAACAAATGTCAAGTAAAGTATGGAAGATTTTTAATTCTCGTTACGTCCCTGTTCAAATTGCCATACAAAAACTTCTTACATGAATGACATTAGACGCGTATTAAGTTAAGATCGATCTCAACTATTCGGATTCGATATTGGTTCGGGCTAAGGGTACAGACTGTATATTCAATTCACAATTAGATCGTTATTAGAAAACAGCCTGTATTAATTTCTTTGCGATAGCAATACCTACAATAAGAAAAAAAATGCCTCATTGACAAGCCTTAAAACTTGTCGCCTCATAGTGCGGCTGTTAATGCCTCATTGCGGCAATTCATACATGTACTTAAAACACTAAAGCCCTTAAAAGATCTTTGTAAAACTTCTGATGTTTATGATCTAGGTAGTTCCATAAACTGTATGGAAAAGGAAAAAAAAGGACACATACGAGTATAAGCGGAGCGGCATTAATCGGCACAGCCGGGCGGTAAAATCGAATATGTGTAGATGAATGTTAGGCAATAATTAACTACGGGTCGGCTTTGTTGTTCGACAATACTGCCGAACCGACAATGCCGGTCGGCCCGATTATGAGTACTTACTTACCCTTACTTATCTGATCGAAAATTTTCCTTATATTTTTGTGTTTCTTCAACTCTCATCATTATTCGTACTGACGAATAGTCGTCATATGAGTAATATAAACAAAGAGAATATAATTTAAAACAGTAAAAAAGAACTTAAAGCGCAGACAAGAGACCTCCGCGAACTTTTTGTCCCCCAAAATAGATCGCTTTCAACTGCATTGAGTAGCGCACACGACGGATTAAAAGTTCCGCGCACAAGAAGTCCCCCGAACAACCGAGAACACCGAGTGACCGGACTGGACAAAAGTACGCAGGTGTCCCCGAAACACCATTTCTTAAACTTCGTGTTATTTACAAGACAACGTAAACCGAAAATATTTGCTTCTGGTGTGTGCTTCTCTAAATTTTCCGGCGACAAATGTTCGCATATCGTGTGTGTTGAGTCCGGAAAAAGTCCTCAGTAGACATTTTTTCACGAGTCAGAGACTTTTATTCACCGCGGACAAAAGTCCTTCGTTTGTGCAGGACATTAGGAGGGGAGGCGGACAATGTTTAAGCATACAAACGTTCTCGATTTTAATTATTAAAGAAATTAATTATTACTATATATAAGAAAAATCTGTTGAAGCTCATACATAAATGCTATTATAAACGGAAGATTTTTTCATGAAGTACCTACGTAACGTGTAATATTATCGGTACTTTTTAAGGCGGTACGGAGTTCGCCGGTTCCGCTAGTAATAACAATAAATCTTTGTTGTCCTTTAATACGTAATAAATGTAATATGTCATTCTAAATACTTACTTATTTATATTCTAGGTACATAACTATATTTGAATTTAAAGCGGGTGCTATAATATACATAATAGATTGAAGCAAATATATATGATCCAGTAATCATTTATGTATCGAACGATATGAACTCTTTAATAGACATCGATTTCAAATATCCTCACTTTGCCGGCTTGTACTTTCAAGAGGCGGATCTATTCGAATCAAATATCTGACATACTCTTCCGCTCTTCAGTTAAGCAAACAATTCCATATTACGAACAGCGGTAGCTAAATGGGATTTTTCACCGCGAGCGGAGCGAGCTCATTAATAACTCCGTTTACCTTGCAATACAAAATGCAAACATAAGTTTCCACCAACAGAAGCGAGCTAAACTGACGGGGACAACAAGAGTAGAAATTAGTACCTTGCAATACAAAATGCAAACATAAGTTTCCACCAACAGAAGCGAGCTAAAATGACGGGGACAACAAGAGTAGAAATTAGTGAAATAGGTAAGAACAATACTCCCGGAACCTTTCTCGGTGGAAAAGCAATCCTATTTTATGAACACGAAGACCGCAGCTCTGGACATCCCTAGTTCATTACTCTTTGGCGGTGGAAAACGGGCTTTAGTAATAGGGTCCTAATGGCACCCTCTCAGTGTGGAGTCCTAAATAAATCATAATAAGAAATTGTTTGGCTTTTTCATAACCTTTTAATATAACGAGGATAAAATTGACTTCACATAATGAACCATTTGCATACTAATATATTTACGATTATAGTAATAAATCTAGCTCAAGGCCGAGTCTAGAGATTTCATGGAGATAATCAATCTTTATTCTTACTATACGTAGAGTTTATTTCACTTTTATCGTTTTAAACCTTTAGGTGGTGAGTTTTGGAAAACCCTTTCTTGGTGCCTGTGTATGTGTGCCATATTTCAGCACAAGCCGTTCAGTGATTTGAGCTGTGCGTTAATAGATCAGTCAGTCAGTATCTAACGGTTGCCTTTTATTGCAAAGGGATAGGTTTTGTCCTGGGTATGTAGTTTTTTTCTAAATTACTGACCTAAAAATAATCATTTACAACTCTCTAGTTAGAAGTTGTCTGGAGTACCTACTGCAGAATGGGAAATGTTAAATCCTTGCAAAAGAGTTTATATGCCTACTCTTGTAAACAGTAATGGTTAAGGACGCAAATTAATATAAATTAATGGCCGTACCAGAAAAATCTTAAACATGCGTTCAACATGAGTTTAAGAAACAATGAAATAATTACAAAATTTGCCCAAACATGATTTAAAATATATAACAATGTCTAACTTTTTTATTATCATAATGTTTTATTAATGGTTATACTACTATTAAATTCTCCTTTCTAAAGTTTCTTTTTCTACCGCCAGCCCAAATGAAGAAGAACGTCTTCAAAATAAGATTGCACCACCCTAACCTGCCAAAAGCGAAAATGTAAACAAAGCCCCCCCCCAACCCTTATTTTAAGAACGTTTTCCAACATTAATAAATCAAATAGCTTTTATGACCTAAAATTTATCAAAACACTATAAAAAGCTTATATTTATCCAACTTATGATTCAGAGTTGTCAACATTAATAGCTTATTCTAATAACATTTTTTTTTCGTATATACTATTAATACGTTACATATTATAGTACATACGAAACATCACGTCCCAATTGAAAAAAATCCCCTTTTAACGAAATTAATCCAAAATTATGAAACATATTGTAGTAAACGAATAAAGAATACGCAAATTGCTACATCACGCAGTCATATAGATTTTTTTAAACAATTAACAAACAAGTTTTAACTGATTCCTTAAAACTCAAATGAACCCTATTGTGAATATACATAAATAAAGTTTTCCAACTTACGAACAAGAATAGAATAACACGCCTCCATATAATAAAAATAACACATACAATTTGCATTACTTAACGTTTTAGATAAGAATATGCTGCGTCATGTTGACTTGCCGTTTGGTATCGCTCTGTCATAGTCATAGCACTTCAAGCCAAATTATTTGGCATCGAATAATGTTGTTACCGCGTGAGTTAAACTTTTAAATAAACCAATACTTCGGGTTTTTGTCTCAAATAATCCGATGCGATTATTCTTAGCTTCGCCCACTTCGCGGGACTTCTTTCGATTCATTTGAACTATCATTTTGGCATTTTCTAGTTTGATAAAAGTATTCTACGGATTTTCTGAGTTATTTTTGATTTTAGCTTGTTTAGGTAAAAGTATTTTTAAGAATTATTATACCTGTATGTATACGCCCAACGTATTGACCAGAGACTATATAATTTAGCCTGTATGCTGATAGATTTAGCTATATTATATTTATGTGGGTGGGATCCCTTAAGTTCTTTCTGCCTCTATATTAATTAAATAGAATAAAATAAATGTGAGGAGGTAAGGAACAAAAAGTGTCATTAACAGTTTTTAACTTTTTGAGTAAATTGAGAAAATAAATATTCAAGTTGATCTAAGCAGTTTTTATTATTTTTTATTAACCATTTATGTGTCAATTATTGTTTAAAATTTAATATATCATAAGGTAATCTTGCTGGTTTTGAAACTTGGAAAAAATACATATCAAATGACACTCTTTGATCCAATAGCATGCAACTGTCACTATTTGATTAAAATATTTTGTAAAATGTCACCTTTTGAAACCCACTTTGTCTAAAAAATGTTACCTTATCAAACATTTGGTATGAAAAAAATATAGATTCACACAAAACATTTTTTATTTCTAATACAAATAATTCTCCACAATCTGGTTCCTAAATTGAACCGACTTCAAACGTATTTCTTAAGAATATGTCGCTTTATGAATTCAAGGGTCTTAATAATGTTAAAACAATAGTTAACAAATTGTTTATAATACACTTCTGGACACATCTATTGGCCCACCTTGTATTTTCAATTTCGTTTGGTCCTAGCTAAAATTTTATATTAGGTCGAGCAAAAAGTTTTTATGCAGTTTTGAACCTGGCGCATTCACAATTTCATTCAAAAGTCTTTTCTTGAATTTCAAACACAGAATTTAAAGGAACAAAAGACAATTTGGAGCCTGTTTGTTGATATCAAACAATCGAATACTAAGAAAACTTGGTTTTATTGGTTTACTTGGTTGGTTTTTAATTCTTGAAAAAGTTATTGATATCTTTGGTTTTGCAACAAACATTACTTATTCTTAACATTAAGGTGAGGTTCTATCAATAATCTATGGATACTTCACCTGAAGTCGGCGCCCAAGCTGTGGCACTTATTCAGGCCGGACACAGCCAAAGAAACGTGAGTGCTCAACTTAATTTAAGTCGATCTGAAACAACAACTGAAAGGCAGCATCAATTCATCGTGACGACCAGCTTGACAAATCGTCACCTTACCTCCATTGAGATACAAAAACAAATTCGCGACTTCCACGGAGTATCTGTGAGCGCTCGAACTGTTCGGAGAAGGTTAAAAGAACGCGATATGGTACCACACAAGCCAGCTAATGGGCCCTAACTAACGCGAGCGCACCGAACAGCGCGCCTTCATTTCGCAAGCAGTCATTTAAATTGGACACAGCAAGATTGGAGCCGTGTACTCTTTTCTGATGAGTTTAAAATTGTGTTACATATCAATGATGGAAGGAAGAAGGTCTACCGACGTAAGGGAGAACGTTTCGCACAATGCTGCTTTGAAGAGAGGGTTGCTTATGGCGGTGGCTCATGGACTGTCTGGGGCGGTATATCCGCGAGCGGCAAAACTCAACTTGAGGTTGATACAGGACCACGGCTGCCAACATTAAATGCTGAAAGGTACATTCGTGAGTGCTTAGAACCTCACGTGATACCATACGCGGACTATGTGGGCCCAAATTTCCTTTTTATTCATGATAATGCAAGAGCCCATGCGGCCGGCATCGTCAGGGAATATCTTCGGGATGTGAACATCACAGTTATGGACTGGCCAGCCAGAAGCCCAGACATGAACCCCATTGAGCACATGTGGGACGAGCTAAAAAGACGTGTTAGGGCTCGTCAGCCAGTTGCCCAGAAGATGCAGGGGTTGAAAACTGCCATAGAAGAGGAATGGGAGATGATCCCTCAAAATTTCATAGAGCGGTTGATAAACTCTATGCCTAATCGTATGAGAGCTGTGGTTTATTTGATAAAACATGTTTTTTATTCAAAAATCAATTGCCTTTAACAAGGCGCATATCCGACTTGTTAGGCGTAGCTCCATGTCGTATGGTATTCTGAATTCAAATTTAAAATAATACGATCGAAAAAGATGGTAAAATGTATCAGGTTTAAAACTGCATCAACAGTTTTTGTTCAATCTAGCAATCATATTTCGGTAGGGGCCATCGAAACCTAAACTCTAAGGTGGGCCAATAGATGTGTCCAGAAGTGTATTATTTAGGCATACCCACGGCATACCTACTGATGCAATGTAGCATCTCACTGTCATTTCATTTCATAGTCTTCAGAAATCACCTGCAAGAAACTTGCTCACGTTGTGTGTTTTCTCACACACATATAACTGTTTTGTTGGAATGCAAAACAGTATTATTATGAGTACAAATGTTTATTCAGTAATCGGGGAATCCATAATTTTATCGCAATTCCTTTCAACAATTTTCATTACCCATAAAACTAATCGCAAAACCTTTTTTTTTTCAATATTTAACAAACCCTAGAATTAGGTTACAACGCATTTTCGTTTCCTCGAATTTTTTTTGACCTGAAAAGAGATCTTTTCTAAAAAAATAATTCATCATTCGATGAAACGTTACTGCCATAAAAAGTTGTTATGTGAAAAAGTATTATGGGTTTCGATACATATTGTAACATGTTTTTACGAATAGTTCTATCGATAACTTAATACTTTAACGAAATGTAAGTTCGATATACCGTTTTTCTGGTAATCAAAACAACTTTAAAAAAAATTTTTTCATGAAACATTTTCGATGATATAAAACAGCGATGATTAAAAATTCGATGAATTGAAAAAAATGTATATTAAAAATCGTGGAATAGTTTTCGGTAAACTATTTATTAAATCGATATCAAAAAATCTGTATTCTGATAGACACCCCAGTAATCATGGTTTTTGTTCGCTTAATATAATTTATCTTAATATATATAAATCTCGTGTCACAATGTTTGTCCTCAATGGACTCCTAAACCACTTAACCGATTATAATAAAATTCGCACACCATGTGCAGTTCGATCCAACTTGAGAGATAGGATAGTTTAAATCTCAAATTATAGTCGCAATTTTAATTTATTGCAAATTATTACTTTTGGGCGGTACGAAGTTCGCCGAGTCAGCTAGTAACTTTATAAAATTTTAGTAGGCAGCATTTTACTTAGTTCCTAGCCCAACAATTGAATTATTCGTATTCAACCAATTTCAAACAAATATTAGAAAGTTCTATATTCGTTCTATATCTGTCGTGTATGTATGTTTTTGTTATTCCCTTATTTATTAAGTATTACAACAAAATTGCCCACAGATGATGTTTACAATGCGATCTCACCACATGCTGACCGATGTAGTTCTAGAAGTTGGCAATGAGTTGTTCCACGTCCACAAAGTGGTGCTTGCGGCGGGCAGTCCCTACTTCAAGGTATGTTATATTACAAAGAAACAAAATGGTTATTGTTATATTGAAATCGACCTCTATTACAATTATATCCTCCATCATGACTAGGCAACGAATGATTCTTTATTAAGCATAGAAGGTACGTAGGAGTATGTAGGAATGTTCATAATAGGTCGTTGGAAATAAGTTTACGATGTCAACAAATTCTTTTTAAAAGTGATTGGTCAGTTTGGTGTTGTTAACACACGACCTTGATAGCGTCATAAAGCTTGGTACTACTTTGATCAACTATAATTACTACTTATGCATTGTTGATAATTATAAGAAAGTGACTTTAAAAGAAGGGTCTCAAGAAGAAAGTGAAAAGCGAGACGCTCTATTGGTGTTGGTTAACAAGATGGAGAACATTATTATAAATATAACATACATTGATTGGGACTATCAAACTCCAGAGACATTGGAGCAACTAGAGAGCGTATCTAAAGACTAAAGGAATGGCCATTCTCAGCTGCATTAAATTAATGTATTGCTTCATTAAACCACGTATTGTCTTATTGTTATGTTGCAAAGAAAATGACAGTATAAATTTTATTATAATAGAACTTAAAAGTTAATATAATAAATAAGCCATGATAGATCGTTGTGACGTTGACGAAAGAAATTCTTACGAGATATTTTGCTAATGGTCAACAACAAACTAGTCCGTTTACGAATCGCAATATTGATAATGATACTTTACTAAGTGTCTTTCGCTAAGTGCATGACAAAATTTAGTATTAAAATATGCTTACTTCTAACCACTGGTTCTTAACCGGTGATCCGCGGACCAGTTGTGGTTCCTGGAAGCACCCGAAGTGGTCCGAACAGCCATTCCAAAATATATTACAATTATTACTTTTGTCCGATTATCGATATCGCTGACCGATTTACAAATTACAAAGAGACAAATCGTTAGTGCTGAACCGTGACAACACAGAAATTTTGACAAACAATGAAACATCATTCAAGTGCATACAGAAACCGCTATGACTAAGTATCTTCCCTAGAGAACATGCGAGCTCGAAGCGCTAGGTAATTTTTTTCTGCCTTGGATACCTATCAAAAGTGTATAGTCATGGCCTACCTCTTTAAACTACAGTTACCCACTCGAATCCTAATCTAAAATCCAAAGTGAATTTCAATTTGAAAACATTTAATACATATTTCCTTGTCATAATGATGAAGCAAAAATTTTGTAAATCCCCAAATCTCCCTGCCACACCTGTATAATGCGTTAGCATGCATAAATATTTCTTTTGCAGATTTAATAAAGATGGACCTTGGACTTTGATTACAAATAATCATTTCAACCTGAATGTCTTTTCAGTTCTTGTTTATGTCAGACTAGTCGTGTTAATAGTTATTTAATATTAAAAAGGTTTTTACAGCGGACAGTGGACTGTCATATAAGTACTTGTAAAAGCCTGAACTGAATAAATAAATATGAACTGTAATGAAATGAATGGAATTCTGACTATTTAAGCGTTGTTTTTGATAGTGTTGCTAGAGGTATTAGGTTTCATTTCATCAGAGGCGGCTGTTGTTGCTGTTCTTTTCTCTGCCGCATTAACTATCCTCGGACTTTGCTCACACTTATGGCCAAGCCACATGACCACGGAGCGGTGCCGTGACGTGAAACGGCGTTAAAGTTTGCGTGCATGACAGGACACATTTCCTTATTTGATAGTGATATTTTTGATGTGTAACAACTTTCCTCTCGCTTTCCTGCAATTTGTGGGAGTGATTTTGTGAAATGGGACGGAAGTGTGTAAACAGGAAGTCGCGAAAGCGCTCGCTATTTGATTTTAGAACATAATGTTCAAATGGCTTTTATTCCTTCTGTAGTAGGTTTTATTACTTTTTTTACTAATATAAGATTAGGTTTCATATGTTACATATCATACGCGACTACTGTAAGGCTCGCTCGTTTTTTTTTAATAGATCGAAAGTATTTATTCTGTAACATAAGGTCATAATAAGAGAAGGAACAGTCCTTCTCTTTATGTTTTTATTTATAATTAAGCATTTAACTGCTAGATGTTTAAATCTAAAGAAAAGATGCAGCTTAAAGCTAGGAAAATTTCGACGCGGCCAATAGGGCTGTGGTAGCATAATGGTCAGTGCATTCGCCCGGATTGCGAAGGGTGCGGGTTCGAGTCCCATCCGCTGCCTGGTCCGCGTGGATTTTTTTTTCTAGTAAACTTTTCTTTAGATTTAAACATCTAGCAGTTAAATGCTTAAAATTAAATAAAAACATACCTATAATTGCTATTTCTTCTTTCAAATGTTTAATACTTGAAAAAGTATTCATTTGACATTGTGGGTTACCTACAATGCGAAGAGATGGCGCTGCCTTGCAACTTAAGGCTAGGAAAATTTCGACGTGGTGAATAGGGCCGTGGTAGCATAATGGTCAGTGCATTCGCCCGGATTGCGAAGGGTGCGGATTCGAGTCCCGTCCGCTGCCTGGTCCGCGTGGATTTTTTTTTCTAGTAAACTTTTCTTTAGTCCTTGTTTAATTCCTTGTTACTATATAAAAGGCTCAATAGAGCACAGTTCAACACAGCACATCATAGCTTGATGTTGTTTGGTATATTGTATTGGTATGGTAGGTAATAATCACCATTAACATCAGGTGGGGAGAAGACGTTCCCAAACCTCGTATAATATAAAAACCCCATTATTTTCTTCATCATTATTATTTTTGATGAGGCAATACGATTTACAGGATTTTGACTAGAAACACCCACTTACACTTAACACCAAGTAGTGTAGTCGTTGACGCGAGGCTTTCCTTAACAAGAAAGTGAGGTCATTTTTCAAACAATGTAATTATATCAAGCGATGCCATTTATCAGTCTTCTTTGTATAAAAAACAAACACATTATGATATTTAAAAGAAGACGTAGCAAGTTATCTTATCAGCTCTTTTATTAAATTTATTCAAGCTCCGTATTGTCCGGCAGGCTATGTTCACAAGCGGGTTGAAAGAGAGTGAAATGTCCCGGGTTCGTCTGCAGGGCGTATGCCCCTCAGCCATGGCTTGGCTGGTGTACTTCATGTATACTGGTAAAGTGCGCATCACCGAGGTCACCGTGTGCCAGCTGCTGCCCGCCGCCACCATGTTCCAGGTATCTAATGTTGGCATATTTTATGAGCACTTAACTGTCAAGTCAAAGTTAATAGTGACTGTGAAGTTTGCGCAAGTCAATGGCGACTGTGCAGATAGCTCAAGTCGCGGCGCAATTAACGTAATAAGTGCGCACGGGGATTCACTGTAACTTAGATTTAACCAAAATTGATCCGCTAAAACCACAATTCGCTTTAGTCACAATTGGGCATTCAAACACGCTGCATGTGCACTCAATATAACAATATTGGGTATATTCTTTATTAATTAAGTTATTAAGATAAAACAATGCCTTCGATGCTTTGATAAAAAACACAACAATTTCAAGATCAAATAACAATTTTCACGGCAACACTTTTCATTCGTAAAACTATGAAAACATTTTTTTTCCCAAAAATCACGGTTTGTCATGAATGTTATTTACTTTTTCGCCATCAAGACAGCTCAGCCGTTTGTAGCTAAAGAGAAAAGAAAACGCAGTGGCCAATCTAAGTGACGCGGATTCGCCTGAAACATGCGCGTAGATGCGCTCGTTACTAACATCACAAACTCAGATTCAAAATCTATGGTTTGAATCTCACTATACAGTTGTCATCACGAAAACCCATTCAACCGTCTCTCTCCTAGGTGTTAGTTCAAAATCGTAAATCTATGAGTATTTCTTCCCTCGTTTTGTAGCCCATACATTTGTACTGTTGTAGAAATATAACTACGCGCATGTTTTTATCAAAAAGGGGACTCTATTCTCATCTCAAATCAACAATTACATCAGAGGATCGCTGAAATTTTTTCATGATAATTTCTTACATTCCTGATGCAATTTTTTATTTTGTTATTTTATTGTTTCTTGACAAAACGGAAAAACAAGTACAAAAAATAAATATTGACCTAATTACCCGAGGGAAATAAAAAAGTGAGGCAAACAAAACAATCTAAGTACATCAGTGAAAAGTTATCTTATCATAGTTATATACATAAGATACTAAATGACCTGTGATATTATTGCACACAAACACAAGTGGATATAAACATAGGATTTCCCTATTATCTTATCATTTGCAAGTCATCGCAACAAACCTATTATGTTATACCGTAACGTGAATAGCCGAAAATAGTGAATGCGTTAGTATATATCGACAATCAGCTGTTTGCGACAAATTGGATGGGTGTGATTCCGAGTAAAGCAGAATTACTTGATTTTAACATACACCAGTAAAAGGTTAACATACGCCAAAGTGATTTAATTAATACTGGATTTAGGGAAATATATTAGGCAAATATTTACCTACATCCACCAGTATTTATCTAGTAAGAAAGTAATTTCATAACACACTTTTCGCTTAGTGTGTTAAGATGTAATATAGTGTATCAATAAAAAAGTTGAAATAGCCACTTTGCCCGGGCATCTTGAACGCTCGCTATTTTGGAACTCTTGGTGTGACATCACAGTCCATAGCAACAGCACAACCAAGATTACGATCCCCGTGGCGGAAAGGTATATACGCCTGGTTTCAAGGTGTTACTCAGAGGTCCCGGTTTCGAATCCCGGTGGGGGCAAATGTTGGTATGATGAATGCGAGCGTTTAGTCATGGATGTTGGTTATATATATTTCTAGATAAAATATACTTATATATGTATCAGTATTCAGAATTCCTTCCATTTCCCTAGTATCCCATAATAGAAGCCTTACAGTGCTTACTTTGAGGCTAGGCTAATTGGTGTGAATGTGGGAAATATTTATTATTTATTTATTTAATTAATAAGATTATGAGGTTAGGGGCACGCGCACTACGAACTCTCACTAGGTATCGTCATACAGTATTGAGTTTATATCCTCTTGTTTCTTGATTTCTTGTTATGTATTTCTACGACACAACGTGTTTCAGATATCAAATATCTGAAACACGATTTGCCACAAAATCAAAAATAAAATTTATTTAAAAAAATATTAGGTTATATAAAAAAGTTTGAGCCATCTTTGAAAAACATGCATATTAATATTGGAAAAGAGATTAACTTATATCACATTGACACTTGCTTTAGCTTTGGTAGGGACTGCGGAAAGAGATTGCGAATTAAGTAAATAAAGCTTCCAGGGATTCCCTTGACCTGTAAAACAATATTTATGTATAATTTTGTAATACCTAAACAAACAGCCCATATGCCGACGCTTTACCGGCATAACGTTCCTGTGTCAATTCATTCAAATGTATGTCATACATTATCATTAATGTAATAGTAGAATACATCAGTTAAATTTTGTTACATAAGTAATGGCTACTTGGTTAATTTTTGTTGTTTAACACATTAGAAATTATTAAAACACTTAAGCCCGAACCAACTCTTAATTATTTTTGTCAATTTTCTCCACATGGACATGCCACCCTCAAATCCGACAGTAATTCTCTTATCTTCGGTTCACTGGTGTTCTTACTAGGTTATACATTTTGATACCCCTTTCTGATGTAAGTTTTGCTAAGATATTTTTACAAAAGTCTACTTCCCCCTTATAGTTATACAGTGTTAAGAACTGTGCTCTTTCGACTTCGTTACGGACACACTTTATCATTACACGGTACACATATTCTGCAAAGTCATATTCATTGCTGTTGGGTGATGTATGTTAATTCAAAACAAAGTTGTTCAGCTCAGTCTGATAACAAATTTACGTCAGAGTGTTCAGAAGTTATATAAACAGCTTCAGAACGAATGTGCAGTATTTCACTGCATTGTCATATGTATGTTATACAGAAAATTTTGCTATCCGATAAGCATCACTATTACATAAATTATGTTCTTTATACAGGATTATTGTAATTTATTGGAGTTTACTCCTTAAGAATCGATTTGCATATATAAGGGGCCCGGTATGAGAAAAATGTGAGGAGTAAAAACTATCGATGTATGACCTCTGAAATGAACTGTTTTTTTTTTTTTTTTTTTTTTTTTTTATTTATTGAATTTCACATTACTATAAATAATAACAATACATTTAGCCAGTGCTACAAAAACCTGTGTAGGTTTTACCGAGCACTGGGATTCGTCATCTTTTAGATCTTTTTTTTTTCGCATCTGCATCTACCCTCTTTCTACGAGTTGTCGGCGGTCGCCCCGAACAAAGCAATGAGTTTATTCACACGGGCGGGTTCCCCATCAGATTTTACTAAATACTGTTACTCTATTATGGTGTTGTAAAACATTAAATTTTACTATATTAAATATGTTATTCTTGATTTAATAACTGTGAGCAATAATATCCTTTTAGTACGTTCTTAATATTAATTTCACTAATTTCTTTTTTTACATATATTGGTAATTCGTTAATTAACTTGGGTATCTGAAACTGTAATAATTGCCTACCATAATGATTATTGTATCTTGGGATATTGAATGTAATGGCTGATGCACTACGGGTTTGCTTACTGTGCTGCTTTATAATACGAAAGTTTTCATTAAAATAGTTTTCTGAGATCAGATTAGATTTGACTTGATCGTGTACAGGCAAAACGTTACAGTGGTAGAAGAGTTCATTTATATTGTTTTTGAATTTAATTTTAATTTTATTAGGAACTATGGCTTTTAAAATTCTAACTTGTATATTGTATATAAGGTCCAAATGTGATTTTACAGTTCTTCCATAGCTACTTATCCCATAGCTTATAATCGTTTCTCCCAATGCCTTATATAGTTGCAAAAGTATGGAATATGGAATTTTGTTTCTGACTAATACAAATTTAGATAGTATTGCTCGCAATTTGTCACATACATAATGAATATGATCGACCCATTTCAATCTATCATCTATTATTAATCCTAGATATTTCTGTTTATTCACGATTTCAATGGGATTACACAGACATTTGTGATTATTCGTATGTAAGCACTTGTGATTATGGGCTATCAGTTTAATATCCTTATAATTCCTGTTATGACTACTGCTAATGTACATGAGCTTAGTTTTTTCATAGTTTAGAACTAGACCAACATCATGGGACCATTTGGAAAGTAAGGTGAATTCATCTTGCAGGTCTTTTAGAGCTACATCTAAGTCTCTATTACCAGAAACAAGACAGGTATCATCAGCGAATTGATATATTTCGCATTTTGTAATGAGATTGACTACGTCATTTACATAAGTTATGTAGTGCAATGGCCCGAGTACGGACCCCTGCGCTGTGCCTTTGGATACCTTGAACTTGTCGCTAAAGGTGTCTGTCACTTTGACAACATATGATCTGTTAGCTAGGTAGTCTTTGCACCATTCACCTAGCGGCCCACATATTCCGCAATCTTTCAAGCTTTCTACTAGTCTTCCGTGATCTAAGGTGTCAAACGCCCTACTGTAATCAATCAGTAGTACTAAAACGTGCTCCTTACTGTCGAGATGCATATAGACGCTGTCAGTAAATTTTGATAGTAATTGCGTGGTACTTTTGCCGCACTGGAAGCCAAATTGCTTATCAGTGATAATTTTATTGTTCTCATAAAAGGCATTTATTTGTTTAGATATTACTTTTTCGACTATTTTATTGATATTTGAGAGAATTGTTATAGGGCGATAATTATCGTACATATCCTGTCGGCCTTTTTTATAAATAGGTCTTACTATACCGGTTTTAAGTTCAGACGGGTATTTTTTTTGCTTCACAGTGACGTTAATGAAATGTGCTATTATATCTGCAATATCCTTGTCAATTATTTTTAAATCAGATGCTCTTATGCCATCTATACCCGGCGCCTTATGGTTATTAAGTGATCTGATTTCTTTAAGAACTGTTTTGGCTGTAGTGTTTTGGAATTTACAACTGACATTGATAGGACATGAATACGTTTCTTTTTCAAGCAATTTGGTATTACAATTATGCATATTTGTATTATTATTATGAAAATATTTTGCAAAGTCATTTGCTATCTGAGAAATAGTATTATTATTTTTGAGAAATGCATTTGTAATAATAGTATCGGCTATAACTTTAGCTCTGCCAGTTAAAGTATTTAAT